CCTTTCTCTTCCTTACTTCCCTCTCCCCTCCCCTCCCCCCTCCCCGTCCCCCCCAGGTGCGTATGGAGGAGGGCGGATGGGGAACAGGCGGGAGAGTGGCATGGTGGGGCGCATTGTGAAGATACGAGCGGGGCCTTATAAGGGGTACAGAGGCCGGGTGCTGGATGCCACTGACACCACGGCGCGGATCGAGCTCGAATCGCAGATGAAAGTCGTTACAGGTATGCTATAATGGGGTGAGGCTTATAAGGGGTACAGACTCTTTACAGAGGCCGGGTGCTAGATGCCACTGACACCACGGCACGGGTTGAGCTCGAGTCACAGATGAAAGCCGTTACAGGTGCGCCGCCGGCACAATGCGTCGCGATGTGAAGATGTATCGTCTTGTGTCTGTGTGAAGCTGGTGGCTGATCATTTGACTGATTAATCAATTCGGCCTGAGTGGTGTGTGGTGATTGGCCTGAGTAATCAATTCGGCTGTTCACTTTGTGTCTCTGTGCGATGGTGGCGCATGGTGGTGCATGCTGTTGCGTGGTGCTGCGTGGTGGCGCATGGTGGTGCATGCTGTTGCGTGGTGCTGCGTGGTGGCGCATGGTGGTGCATGCTGTTGCGTGGTGCTGCGTGGTGGTGCATGGTGGTGTGTGGTGGTGCAGTGCGGAGGGATCAACTACCTGATGGAGCACCAGCAGCGGGACAGCAGCAGCAATCACCCGCACCGTACAGGTATGTTCCTGAGTGCCTCTATCAAAGTGGGGAAGGGGAGGTTCGGGGAGGCAAGGGAAGGGGAGAAAGGGGGGGTTAGAGGGGAGGGAAGGGGAGGGCGGGTGGGGTGGGGGGATGCTTCGTTCATGTATGCAGGTCCTTGGCACCACCCTCGTCCCCCAAGGCACTTGGCAGTAATGCGCTCGTCCCTCCACACCTGTATCTGAGCATCTTCCCGGCTTCCCTCCTGCACTTGTTGTCTCCCAACAACCTTTTCTTTCTCCCCCTTACTCCAGGGAGTCGCCTCGCTTCAGAGGGTCCCTGGGCAGCGAGACGCCCGTGCATCCCTCTGTCTGTACATGAGCATCTTTTCTCCAGAAGCCTTACTTCGTCTCCACTGACCTCCTGCGCTTGCTGTCCTGAGCATCCCACTGACCTCCTGCGCTTGCTGTCCTGAGCATCCCACTGACCTCCTGCGCTTGCTGTCCTGAGCATCCCACTGACCTCCTGCGCTTGCTGTCCTGAGCATCCCACTGACCTCCTGCGCTTGCTGTCCTGAGCATCCCACTGACCTCCTGCGCTTGCTGTCCTGAGCATCCCACTGACCTCCTGCGCTTGCTGTCCGGCTTCTTCACTTCTCCTTCCCCCCTCCCTTTCTTCCTCCCCCTTACTCCAGGGAGTCGCCGCGCTTCAGAGGATCCCTGGGCAGCGAGACGCCTGTTCATCCGTCGCGCACGCCCATGCACCCAGGCTTTGGCGGCCGGGGCTTCGACCCCTCTGGTACGCCATGCGTTGTCATTCCTTCACTTGTTTACAATAGTGACCACCAGTCCTCGGCACGACCTTTTGTCTCCTCGTTCTCCCCCCACCTTTCCCCCTTTCCACTTCCCCCTCCTCTCCTAGCTACTCAGTCAGCAGCCGCACTATCTTGCCACATCTCGTTGCCCCCTTCCCTCTTTTCTTGTGCACCATGCAGCCACGCCAGTGCATGAGGGCATGCGCACGCCCATGCGAGACAGGGCCTGGAACCCCCATGTGCCCACCACTCCTCTCAGGTGCGTATCCGTTGTTGTGTTTCTTCAGGTGTCATTTCAGGTGCATATCAAGCTCTGGAATCTTCCATGTCATGCTATTCTATGCCAAGCCTTGCCATACCATGCTACCATTCTGTGCCATGCCACTCTCACAGCACCTACCCTCTTTCCTCCCCTATGTGTTCTCCCCACCAGGCCAGATTCATTCGACGAGGCAAATCCATCCACATGGGGTTCATCGGGCAGCGATGCTCCCTTCCTGCCCTACACGCCTGCCTTCTCACCTGCCGACATCGCCCCGTCGCCACCGCTCCCCGTGCATGATGTGAGTGTTTATTTATCTATTGAGGCATTTACAGACCTTTGACCCCAGTGGGGGTCAACTGTAGGCATTGATATATATGAGGCGCACACACTCTCAAAACCTTTGATCCCAGCTGTTTGTAACATATAGCATCTAGCCGAGCACCCCTTCTCTCGATGATTCTGTCCTCTCTGCCATGAGACTAGGCGAGCTGCAGCTTAGGAGAATTCTTTAGCAGAAGAAAAACAGTAGAGTTTAAAACTCTTGTGTTGCCAGTTCAAAGAACAAGATCGAAACTGAGCTCCCCTACAAAAAACTGAGCTCTAAGTCCACTACAACGAAGCCAAGCACCCCTTCTCTCTCGATGATTCTGTCCTCTCTGCAAGGCACTCGGGGGGGGTTCTACACGCAGCGAGTCGGTTTTTGAGTCGACTCAAAAACCGACTCTCGATGATTCTGTCCTTTCTGCAAGGCACTCGGGGGGGGTTCTACACGCAGCGTTCGACATCCCTACTCCTGGAAAGCCCTTTCCACCCTTCTCCCTCCCTTCCGGGCTGATTGATACCCATCCCGCCCTTCTTTCTCTCTGGCCCATCTCGCCCCACAATGCTGATTCTTTACCTTTCAGCCCGGCACTCCAAGCGATCTGCGCTCGGCCTTTGACATTCCGACACCTGGCAGCCAAGCCGGCCCCAACTATAACCCCTCCACGCCCTATGGTGGGTCCTCGGTTCCTCTTCCCGGCCTTAGATTACCACCTACGCCAGTCCCCCCCCCCCCCACCTACGCCAGTCCCCCCACCTTACAGTGACGCCCTCCCCCTGCTTTCCTTCCCCTTTTGCAAACGGCTTCTCAGTGCAGCTCTAATTCTCTTCCCGTTTATTCTTGTTTCAGTGCTCTCGTTCGTTCTATGCTGGTTGTAATCGGCATCCATCTCTGCTGTTTTCCACTCATCACCAGGCGAAGCTCCGAGCCCGTATGCGGCGCAGACGCCCACGGGCCAGCCTCTCACGCCCTCAGCTGCCTACATTCCCGCCACGCCTGCTGACTCTTCTCTGCCCATGACCCCTGCCGACCCCAACTCGCCTGCCATTGGTCAGTTCCTACCCTTCCCACCCCTGCCATTGGTCAGCTCCACCCTGCCCCGCCTACTCTTGTCGTTCCTTTTGAGGCGTCTTGGATGCCCTCCCCTGTTGACTCCTCTCTGCCCATGACCCCTGCCGACCCCAAGCGCCTGCCATTGGTCAGTTCCTGCTCTTTTCACCTGTCACTGGTCAGTTTCTACCCTTCCTCCCATTTGCGCATTCGCTACTTTTTTTGTCCCATTTGCCACTGATCTCCCCTTCTAAACTGCATCTTTCTGACTTGGCCTCATTTCCCTGTCCCAAGCTCTAACATTGTACACGTCCTCCTGTGTTTTTTCTACACGTTTACATGTTTGTTTCTCCTAGTGTTCTCTTCCTTGCCTTCCTGAACGCATTCCCTTTTTGCCACGTGCCCGTACCTACCGGCGTCTGTGTATCCACCGTACCTGCCGCACAGGCATGGGAGGGGGCTTCAGCAACGGAGGAGAGGGGGGTTCGCTGGGGCTGCCGGGAGTGCTGGTGATGGTGCGACGACCGGGGGGACCTGGGATGACCACCGTGGTGATTCGAGAAGTGCTGCCGGTGAGTGTGTTGTGTCTGTTGGGTGTGCTTGCACTGCAAGTGAGTGTTGCCACAAGTGAGTGTTGCTGCCTGGAGTGCTAGTGATGGTGCGACGACCGGGGGGACCTGGGATGACCACCGTGGTGATTCGAGAAGTGCTGCCGGTGAGTGTGTTGTGTATGCTTGCACTTCAAGTGAGTGCTGCTTCTTCAAGTGCTGGTGATGATGTGGTGTTTTGGGGGGGGCTGGGATGACCATAATGCTGTCTGTGAGTGTTTACGCTTGTACCTATCGTTGAGTGTAGCTGCTTGCCTGGCCAGATTCTTTTTGCTGCCTTCCCGCATTATCTCATGAACTCCCATTCTTCTACGTGCACTCTGTTGTGCAATTTGTCTCGTCCTCTTCCTACAGGACGGTTCATGCCGCGTTGGAGCAAGCAACGCGTCAGAGTCAGAGCTCTTTATAGTGGGACCCTCGGAAATGGACATAGTGTTACCGCGTTCGCACGACCGCGTGAAGATTCTGCGGGGCCCGTTGAGAGGCGCTGTGGGGAAGCTGATGGGGGTGGATGCGGCCGAAGGGATTGTAAAGGTGGATGGCGAGCCTGATGTGAAGACCATTGAGATCACTGGCTTAGGAAAGCTTGTGCAGTGATTGTAATACTGAAGGAAGTGTAGCCACATAGTTTTTGCTCAGAGTGTATTAGGGTGGAGCTGCTTTGAGCATTGCTTCTTGTGTTTTCAATTGAAGGCTAAATTCCACATTTTACTTCCAGCCTATGTACTTCACAATGGGGGGTTAGGATAGCTTTTTCGTACCCGCTTGTCTGAATATCGGGTTGGACTGTAGAATGTAATTCTCATCTGTGTATTTCTCCCTCACCCACCTGTTTGCGAAGCACCCTCCGTACCGAACCGACACGTACTTTTAGGAGGGATATAGCAATAACAGGTGGCGGTACGAGAGAGCGCGACAGCGTGCACGTGTCGCTTCGCTTTCCGAGACGCATATCCCAGACTCTGTAACAACATGCGTGCTGCGGCGATTACCTCGGCGAGCCGCAGTTTCGTCATGCGGTTCGAGACGTCGAGTTGTGTAGGTCGAGGACGGTACACGGGGAAACGCGAGGGTGGTGGGATCCGCGCGGGTTCTCGTGGTGGATTCCGTTTAGAACTACGGCGTCTATACTAATTGAAGGTCCTTGTACGTCACGGTATCTGGTCTTTCTTGTTCCTGAGATCGTACTAGGGCTTTCACCTTCCCAATATCCTCTCGACACCAAGTCCTAAAGACGAAGGTAGTACGCGCGCAAGCATGGCTCCAAAGACGCACGCGAAACCGGCGGAGACTGACGCGCAGCAGCTGAAGACGAAGCTGGAGACCGAGCCGCTGAGCAAGAGCCTCACCGGCACCGTCATTCCCGATGAAACCTCCTTCAACATCGAGGTATCCTCGTTGTTATGACAAGCTCTTGAAGCAATTTTCCAAAACTCCATCCCGAACAAACCTCCTTACCACATTGGGGTACCTTTGATTCTTGCTGGACGGGTGAAGCTTTGTTATGACAGGATCAGATCTCCGCGATTGCGGTGGACTTGTTGCCGTGTTACCATTCTTTGGAACCATGTTGCGTCTATGTTAAAATTCCCCCACGGCAGGCGGAGATTAAGGCCCTGGGCGGGCTGGAGGTGCTGGTTCCGGGGAAGCTGGAGCCAACCCTGATTCGTCAGCATCTGGACGAGTCGCTTCTCAAGGCCTTCAACTGCGCGTCCAAGTGGGTGTATAAATTATGATAAATATTGTGCTCTATTCACAATCTGATTGATTCGGGAGTTTTTTTTATGTAGCTTTTTATTTTCCGTGTGTAACCACGTTTTCTTGTGTGAATTTGATCCCATGCTACAGTGTACACCTGTCAACGTCGTACGCCTATCAGGCGCTCGCCCTGTACTGCGGGAAGGACTCGGTGGCTCTCAGAGGGTTCGGCAAGTTTTTCTGGAAACGCGCTCTGGAGGAGCAGATGACGTTCAAGGACATTGCAGCTTTCGTGGTATTTATCTCCTATATTTTATTCTCCCCCTCTTTCTCTCCCTTCCTTCTCTGCCCCTCTCTTTCTCTCCCTCCCCTTTGTTCTCCCCCCATTTTGCATCATCTTTTTCTCCCCAGTATTCACATTTTGTTATCTGTGTCAGCTTTCTTAAAAAAGGTTTCCAGTTTCCTGATTCCCATCTGTTATTTTATTCTCCCCCTGTTCTTCTCTTTTTCCTTCTGTTCCTGTTCCCTAATTTCTGTTCCCATCCGTTTAATCTCTGCCTGTCTGCCGGCTGGTGTCACCAGAGCGGCCGTGGCGGTGGCCTCATGCTGCGGGACATCAAGGCTCCGCCGCAGTCCTTCCATGATCCTGAAAGGGGTGATGCACTAACGGGTACGTGCTTATATTGTGTAAAAAAAGCAAGAATCTGAATAGTTTGTTTTTCTGCATGCTTTGTTTGAACGTCTCAGCCCGTCTCGTAGAGCCTAACGATCACCATCAATCTGCGTGGCAGTTGCGGAATATGACCTGGCTGTTTGCAAGGTGGCGTATGAGAAGGACCTCAACCTCCACAAGGTGGGAAATTGAAGAGGAGACAGGGTTGTGAATGCAGGCGAATTCATTGCGAGGGTATTACATCTGCTGCGGGTGTCACTGCGATACTATTTTGAGTTGGTGTTTGTCTCATCCCAGTAATGATGGCCAGAACCGGAAGATGTGGATTCTTTGTTTCCTCGTTGGCATACACGCACGCAGCTCGATGGATGCTGGGTGATGCTGGTGCTTTGTGTCCTTATCCTTTGATGAATAGCACTGGTTGTTGGAACTTATTCCTTCGCTGCTCTCCCATTCCTCGTGCAGGCAGCTGAGATGTCTGGGGATGCTGGAGCGCAGAACTTCATTGAAAATCGCCTGCTCAAGCCGGAGGTACGTGATTATTAACACAGTTGCTTGACCCTACTGTTTTACACAAATCAAAGCGAATGTGCACTGTTTCACGCCATTTTCACACCATGTGGTTATGATTTTCGTGTGGCAGGTGCTGGCGCTGCAGCGCTGTGCGCGCTATGTGACTCAGATCAGGCGCGTGGGCAAGGGAACAGGTTAGTACAGTGAGGAGATAGTGGTTTTTTTTGTGAGGAAGTTCATGTTCTGATTGACAAATGATATGCTTGTGTGGGTGTTTGTGGGTGTGCAGGCGAGTATCAGCTGGATCATCACATGCTCATGGGCGTTGATATTGGAGAAATGACTGTGGGACAGGTCAGAACCTACCGTTTATATGCTACTACGCACTTCTTGTTATCTTCATGTCTGTCCAATTCCTGTTTGCCCAGTTCTTGTGACTTGGTTGGTTAAATTCGGTATTCAATATGTCTCCCTTCCATCGCATGTGCTTTCAGGTTCTTGATCCAATGACTGAGCGCATGTCGGTGCATATGCAGCCACCCACCAAGCGTGCCCGTACAGCAGCTGATGGCATTTTGGGCTTGCTCTCATCCGAGGATTGATTGGCATTTCATGACGTTGCGGCTTGCTTCCAAATGAAAAAGGGGACCTGTTTTGTAGAGTAGATGCTGCCAGCGTATATTGCTTATCTGCGCTTCTTCAGATTGTATATGCTGTGTATTGTGTGCAGTAAGCTTGTAAATAGTGTGAGATGTACAAGATGCTCTTTGGAGAACGTCATTGTTATCATGCCGCTCAAAGAGTTTTGGCTGATGCACCAGTCTGCTGTTGATGCAGCGTTGCATTCGCCGCCCAAACCATACCATGTTGTTTCGTTCCAACATTGTCAACTCTTCTCTACTAAAGCCAGCCCGTTCCATACTGTACAGTATGCGAAGACTGGTTTCCAAAAGGTTGAAACATGAAAACGTGTGATTCAGAGAGGCACTTGCAGCCGCGAATAGAGTTGGATTGGAAATAAAGTGATGGTCCCGAAACGAATTCGTACATTTGTGCAATTTGTACAAAGCGTGTTGGCCTTCCGTTTCAATTGCCCCTCGCTTCTGAACACACTGTAGGAAGTCCACTTCTCCAAGGCTTTCTGCCACTGCTTCTTTACCGCAGTGAAACAAACTCCGCCGAACGAAGCCGTTCTAAATGATTTTGTGCGGCCACCCAGGGTTGTTCATTACACGAACCGCAGTGTCAGCATATGCTTCTGGTGATGGCTGCCTGATTCATTTCGTTCCTCGGATTCAGGCCTTGCGTTTTCGTGTCAGTGATTTCCGCCATTTCCGTGCTTCCGTCAGTCTCCGTGGATGATCATGGAAGACGATATTGTCGCGGCTCGATTAACAGATAACTCGCCCGACTGCGTTCCGTCTCATGCGGAATTTTCCTCTTGTAACGGAAGCACAGTTACTTTATCTGACGACAATTTCGATGCTTCCTCCAGTGACGTCAGCACAGCCTGTCACCGCACGCCTCCTCGATCCTGGAAACACGCAATGTCGCCGAGACTCACGGAAATCGAAGAGGTCTTTGAGGAACACTCGAGTCGCACTACCGAAACTTTTGGATTTATATCCGCCATGTCTGAGCATTTACCAAGACCTGAGACTGTTAATAACGCGTATGCTGACATAACTTCTGAGAAATCACCAGGTTTGCCCCCTATTTCGCCGAACGTCAGAAGTTCGCTTTCCTCAAAGGGATCAAGATCCCCTCTTTATAATCACGGGGAGCGGTCCCCGTGTCCAACTTCTCCGCTTCTCCATGATTCGGGGGATAGGTCTCCCCTTGCGCCTTCCCCATTGCGCTCCCCCGGCCTTCCTCCGCGCAGCATTTCCAGCAAATCCGCCAGTTCCGCAGTTCCCTCTTCCGGCGCGACACTTTCCGCGGAACCTCCTTCCGCAAACCATTCCGCGGGTCCCCCATCAGCGGGTCCTTCTTCCTCAGTCTCCCCCTCCGCGGATCCTGAGGGGTTCATGACGAATAGGGTTACCTTTCTGGCTGAAGGTGACAATAACGAGGGAAATCAGGCCGGAGCAGTAGCGGGTGACAAAGCTAGCATAGCAGGCTCGGAAGGCGCGGAAGGAGCGAGCGGAAGGAGCGGAAGGAGCAAGGGAACGGCCAGCAGGAGGAGCAAGAGCAGCGGAAGCGGCTGGAGAGGGTATGTGCGGTGTGGATGTAATCCGCGGCGATGATAGTACCCGCGCCAGCAGCAGCAGCTGCAATGCTGCAGGAGCAGGAGCAGCAGCAGCAGGAGCAGCAGGAGTAGAAGCTGCAGCAGAAGCAGGAGGAGCAGCGGCAGGTTCGAGGCCAACAGACCTTGAAACGAATGGCGGAGGCCCAGCAGAGGCAGGGTTGGGAGTGGGCGCATTCGGAAGCGGGAAAGGCGCGGGCGGGCTGGGAGACGGGAGCGGAATGAGAGGATTCGGCGAGGGAAAGGGAGTGGGCGGAGGAGGGTTGAGGAGGCAGGGAAGCGGGGTGGTGGGGGGGTTGCGGAGGGAGGGAGGTGCGGGGCTGCGGCGGGCGGGAAGCGGACTGCATGCGGGCATGCGCACCACGAGTGACGTCATGGCGCAGATGCGGGGGGTTTCCGCGGGGGGAGGCGGGGGAGGGGGCGGGGGAGGGGGCGGGGGAGGAGGCGGGGGAGCGGCGGGCAGGCGCGGGTTTGGAGGGGAGACGGATTGTTCTGCGTGCAAGCTGATTGCGCTGTATGGGGCGACTGGGCAGGAGATTCACCGGTCCTCGTGCCCTCGTGCCAAGAGAGATGCAGGTGAGTCGGAGAGATATAGGGAGAGAAGGAAAGGGAAAGGGAGAGAGGGAGTGTTGAGGAGAGAGGGGAGTGTGTGCATGCCGCTCCGCTTGAAAGGTGTTTCTTTGTGTGCAAGCTGATTGCGCTGTATGGCGCTACTGGGCAGAATATTCATAGGTCCTCGTGCCCTCGTGCTAAGAGAGACGCAGGTGAGCATGAGCGGGGTGTGCGGGAAGAGATGGGTATGGGGGGGGGGGTATGGGGGATGAGAGGGAGTGTGTGCATGCTGGTTGAAGGGGTTTCTTCGTGTGCACGCTGATTGTGCAGTGTAGCACGACTGGCAGGAGATTCGCAGATCCTCGTGCCCTCCCTCCCTCCCAGGTACTCCCGGCGTTGGCAACGCCAAGCCAGGGTCGTTAGAGGGCATGTTGGAGATGAGCAGGGTGCGCACTCGCCTCATGGTGGCGGCTCAGGAGGTGCTGGAGGCTCAGACGAGACTTATCCCTCTCTACCATCCCCGCGTCCCTCCTTCCTTCCCTGCCTCCCTCACCTCCTGCCACTCCCCTCCCACCCGCCCGCCCTCTCAGGCGCATCCGGTACCACTAGTGCTAAGCCAGGGTCGCTAGAAGGCATGTTAGAGATGAGCAGTGCTCGCACGCGCCTCATGGTGGCGGCACAGGAGGTGCTGGAGGCTCAGACGCGCCTGGGCATGCACAGCGTGTCTACCGCTGTGGGAGAGAAGGCTGCTTCTGGGGGAGGTGGAGCTGGAAAGGGAGAGAAGGGGGGAGGCGGGAAGGGAGCGGGTAATGAGGGTGGTGGTGGTGGGGGGGGTGGGGGTGCGATGATAGGTGGCGGTGGTGGTGATGGGAGTAGGAAGAAGGCTGGGGGATTTGCAGGGCTGATGCGGACAAGCAGTAATGCGGCGTCGGGTGGAGGAGGGGGTGGTGGGGGAGGGATGAAGGGCATGGGGTTGGGTGGGCTGATGCGAACAAGCAGCAACGCCGGCAGCAGCAGCAGCAGCAGCAGCGGTGGCAGTAGTGATGCGGCGTCGGGGGGAGGGGGGGGGGTGGGGGAGGGATGAAGGGCATGGGGCTGGGCGGGCTAATGCGAACCAGCAGCAATGCCGGTAGCAGCAGCACTGGTGGCAGCAGTGGTGGTGGTGGGGTTGGGTTGGGGCTGGTTCGGACAAGCAGCAGTGCGGCCAAGGAAGCAGGCTCTGCTGGTGGTGGCGGATTCGGGGGAGGCGGATTTGGGGGAGGTGGATTTGGTCTGCCTGCAAGCAAGTCTACGGGTGTTGCTGGGGGCTTTTCTCGATCCAGCAGCACTGCTTCCCCTTTCGGAGGAGGCAGTGGTGGTGGTGGCAGCAACAGTGGTGGTGGATAAGGGTTGAGTGGTTTGGGGAGCGGTATAGGAGGGTCTGGGCTGAGGCGGACGAGCAGCAATGCGGGGACTATGAGTGGGAAAGGGGTGGGGGGTGGTGGTGCAGGAGGGGGGTCTGGGGGTACTGTTGTGGGGAAGTTGAAACGGTGGATCTCTGGTGTTGAGCATGGTGACTTGAAATGAAACTGTACTGTAGTGTCATTCCTGTTACTGGAATGTTTGGGCTCCCGAGTGCAGAAAGTGTAAAGTGTTTCGCTGTCTGTCTGCTCTTATCAATGTTATTTTCATTCTGCTCATTCCAACCTTTCTCCTATCTGTTTCATCTAGCTTCGCATACAAGATGCCTCTAATCAATAGTTTAACCCAAATTACCACTCCATTAGGTAGTCGATAGCTCGGCAATGGTGAAAGTAGGGGAAACAAACATAAAGGGCAAACCTTATACACACATGCATGCACACTACATAAAACAGCTGGCAACTTACGCTGCCCATAAACGAAATACGGTAAAGCAAAACCAATCAAGTATACACACGCGCTACATAAATCAAGAAGTAACTTGCCCTGCCCATAACAATCCATCACTTCTAACGGGCAGGACTAGGTACGGGTTCGGGATCACCTCCGCATCCGAATCTTCTGGCTCGGCAGGATCAGGTCCGGGTTCCGAATCTGCGGGTTCAGCTTCACCACTTCCGTCCACTTCATCCCACTCCCATGAACCTTCTGGGAAAGACTCCACAGGGTATCCCCAGGCTGAACCGTCACCTTAGCCGGCTTCGCATGCCTCCCAAACACCCCACTCCCACCACCGCTCTTCCCCTGTTGCTTCTTCCCCATGCCGTTTGCCGCCAGCCACCTCCCCCCAGACTGTGCTTGCTTCTGCGACCCCCACCCCCTCCCTGGTGCCTCTTCTGCTTTTAGCCCTGCGACATGCACTGCTTTGAGCTTGAATCGGGGCGGGGCAGTGGGGGGGAATGTTGGGGGTGGGGCAGCAGATGGATGAGAGGGAGCAGCGGAGGTAATTTGGCTGCGGCGGCCTGTGCCTGTGGCGTCAATCCACGGCTGTAGCGCCGCCTGTGCTGAGCTGGTGGCATGCCACGGCTGTAGCGCCGTCTGTGCTGGGCTGGTGGCATGCCACGGCTGTAGCGCTGTCTGTGCTGGGCTGGTGGCATGCCACGGCTGTAGCGCCGTCTGTGCTGGGCTGGTGGCATGCCACGGCTGTAGCGCTGTCTGTGCTGGGCTGGCTGCATCAACCGCAGAATACTCGATGGAAAGCTGGGCCCTGGTATTGTTGGTAGCAGCATGGCAGCCTTCCAATAGGCCCTGACTCTGGTGGCTTCCAATACACGCTTGGGCTGTGCTGCCAAGAGCAGCTGCGGTAGAACCACCCAAACCAGCAGCAACACGACCAGCAACACGACCAGCAATACCAGCAGCAGCAGCAGCAGCAGGTGGTGCCGGTGCTCTCTCTGCTTGTAGCAGCGCCATCATCGGTGCTCCCACCGGCTCAAAGTTCCGCAGGGGGTCTCTCAGCTGGACCAGCATGGCTACCGTCACACTGTCACCTAACATACCCCCTGTTACAGGGTTACCACCCACACCCCCTGTGACACTGTTACCCACCAGACCCCCTGATACAGTGTTCCCTTGGCCTGCTGTCAACCCCATTCCCCTTCCAAAGCCTCCCACCATCTGCCTAGACTCACCCTCCCAGCCTCCTACGGTCAAACACCCTGCCTCCACACCCCCTGCAGGCACCAACTGGCCTCCAAACCCATCTGCACCGCGCAGCACCTTCTGCTTCCCCTCGTCCCCCTCGCTCCCCTCCAGCAGCCCTGCAATCCCATGAGCCTTGCAGTGTGCTCGCAGCACCTCCAGAGCATCTCTATCGGACTCCACCGCATCCCACACCCCTGCATCCAGCTGCTGCCACTCCTCCACTGTCAGCGCCGCCCCAAGCAACCCCCCATGCCCACGTCCCCCGTTGTAACCACCAGTCTGGTTACCAGCAATCTGGTTATCATTATCCTGGTAACCAGCACCGCCCAGAACACCCCTCGACCCGCCAGTCACGTAACCCGCAGGGTAACCCGCACAGTACCCCAACTGCCCGGAATCCCCCAGAGTAATAGCCCCTGGCGCCTGCAACTCGCTCTGATCGTTCTGCACTCTCAACCCCTCCACCAGCAAAGCTTCAATCTGCTCCACAGCCAACGCCCCCAGTTCCCCCAAACCCACATACTCATCCTCCTCTCCCTCTCCCACTCCCACTCCCTCAAAAGCACCAGCCAGGGTTCCAGTTCCCATCCCAGCCTTACCAGGAACCATATTGTTCCCTGCTGCACCCATCCCCGTAGCTAGAGCCCTACCTGTGGCATCACCCCTACCAGCTAGAACCATGTTCCCTCCGCTCTTGCCCATCAGCGCAAGCGCCTGTCTAAGCTCCCTATCCATCTCCTCCTCCTCCTCCACATCATCAGACTTCCCTAGAGGTTGATCCTTTTTCCCTCCTCCTCCCCCTCCACCTCCTCCTCCGTTGCTCAGTAGGTGCTGCCCCCGGCGCCGCAGGCGAGCCAACGCTGCTGCTGCCTGTGCCCGCCTCACAGCCAGAGCAGAGGCCGCAGAGGAGGAGAGGGCAGAGGAAGAGTGGGAGACTGAGACTGCGGAGGAGCTGCCACGGCTGATGATAGCACCTGAAGAACCACCTGAACCGCCCTCCAGGCATCCTCCCAGGTGTCCCTCCAGATAGCCTCCCTGGTTCCCTTGCAGATACCCTCCTGCCTGTCCCGGCTCCTGCCCCTCCAAACTCCCTCTAACCCCTCCCGCCAACCCTCCCACTCCTCCCAACCCTCCCGAACCTCCCAAACCTCCCACTCCCCCCTCCCAGTTCCACCCTCCTTCGAGATAAGCCATTCCGTCAGCTGCGATTTGCTCTAGAGGCTTGCCACTGATGTCTGGGAGGGGCATGAGCGCCAGGACTTGGTCTGTGAGGGACGGGGCGGAGGGATCCGCAGCAGAGGCCGCAGCTAGGCGTTGCAAGAGTGGGAGCACGGAGGAGGGATCAGCACCAGCAGCAGAAGCAGCAGCAGCAGCAGCGCCAGCGGCGGCGCCAAGAGCGTTTCCACCAATAGCAGCACCAGAAGGGAGCGGGAGCAGCTTAGACGAGGCGTCTCCAGCCGATCCTCCTCCCAATGCTAACTCCGATGGGATGACCATGGGGCGGGAGAATTGCATCACCAGCCGCGTGGCCCCCTCCCCAAAGTGCTGCCCGGACATGGAAGCCAGGAACCCCCCTCCCTGCAGCGCTATCGCCGACCCCATTCCGTCTAGGAGCGGCGGGGGAGCGTTGGAATTCGGGAGGGCGAGGAGGAGAGGGTCTGTGGCTTTGAGGTGGGCGTGAGGGGAGGGGAAGGAGGAGGGAGAGGGGGTGGGTCGGGGTGGGAGGTGGGGTGGGATGGTGGTGGGGTGAGGGACGGGAGGGGGGATGGAATCCGGTGCTAGGAGTGAGGAGGCGAAAGAGGGAACGGGAGATGGTACCAGTGGGGGTAGAGCAGCAGAATTAGCAGCAGCAGCGGCGGCAGCAGCAGCAGCAGCAGCAGCGGCGGCGGCAGCAGCAGGGGAGGTGAGGGAAGCCTTGATGATTGGGCCCGCAGGTGATCTCTTCTGGAATGTACCTATGGCACAATCACTTGCAGGTTTGGCGCTAACGGCAGCAGCAGGCATGGCAGAGAAGACAAGGCTGTCAGGAAGAGACAAGTCCCGGAGAACGCACTGGGGAATGCGCGACACAGGACTCTCAATGCGCGTCACACTCTCATCACCTCCCTTCCTGCTGCTGCTGCTGTTGCTGCTGCTGCTTCGTCGCCTGCTGCCCACTGCAATCAAGCTGGTATGGTGCTGATGCCCACAAATGGTCACGGCCCCTTCCGCTCCTCCTCCTCCTCCTCCTCCTCCTCCTCCTCCTCCTCCTCCTCCTCCTCCTCCTCCTCCTCTGACTGCTCCCATGCTGAACCCTCCCTTTGCTGCAGCAGCTGCTGCTTCTGCCAGTCCCCCCTCCCGTGCATCAGCAGCCGCAGCAGCCGCAACCACAGCAGCGGCAGCAGCAGCAGTAGCAGCGGCGGCAACCGCTGGAGTGCTGCTGCTGCTGCTAAAGGAAGCGCGCTTTCGTGGAAGCTGCTCGTCGTCTTCCGCTGAGTCGCCCTCAGCTGTCCCAGCCCCACTGACTGGTCTTGCAACGGCTAATGCACCCAGAGAGTTAACACCAGAAGACCTTCCTCTCACAACAAGAGCCAACGCAGTTTCTGCACGAGCGGTAGCAGCACCACCAGAATCACCACCACCAGCAGCAGCAGCAGCAGCAGCCGCAGCAGCCGCAGCAGCAGCGGCATTGGTAGAAGAAGTGACAATCACAGAAACTCCATTCGTAGTATCAGTGGAAAAGGCACGAGCGGTGTCAGCAAAATGGGATCGTTTACCCAAGAAGTGCTTCCGCAGCTCTGCCTCTTCCTCCTCCTGCAGCAGCAGCGCCCTCCGCCTGCTCCTCTCCTCCACCTCCGCCCTCCGCCTTTCCGCCTCTGCCCTTCTATCCTCTTGCTCCCTTTCCCTCTTAGCGTGAGCTAGGTGATCTTCCTCCTGTTCATCTGCCTCATCTTCTTCCTCCTCCTCTTCCTCTTCATCTTCCTCCTCATCTTCCTCCTCCTCCTCTTCTTCCTCCTCTTCTTCCTCTTCTCCTTCTCTCAACGCCTCGCGTTCCCCAACACCTCCTTCCTCGTCCTCTCCCTCCTCCGCAACAACTCCCTCCCCATCTCCACCGCTCTCCACCGCTCCCTCGCACTCTCGCTCCCCACATACCCTTTTAGCGCCACCTCCTCGACCCCCATCCTCCTCCACTCCCTCCTCATCCCTCCGCTCACTACTCACCTCCTCTTCTTCCTCCATTTCCCCTCCCTCCCCTACCCTCGCCTCCTTTCCCTCGCTCGTCTCACCCACCCCGTCCTCCCTCTCCCCTCCTGCTTCCATGCTATCCGAGCTCGTATCATCAAGCACAAAGCTGCGGGCGCTATCGCTGCCTGATACCGAGTCTTGGGGCTCTAGAAGAACCGACGCAGGCGAGTTCAGGACAGCACCTGCTGCTGATGCCGATGTGACTGCTGCTGGTAACCCTGTAACCGCATCTCCAGTCGCTTGCGCCTTCGCGGGAGCTGCAGCTGCAGGGATGATTTCTTCTGGCGATGCGACACCGTTGATCCTTTCCTCCTCGGAGTCAATCCGACCGTCCAAGTCTGACCCACTGTTTGCTCTTGCCTCTTGCTCCGCTAAGAGCTGTTTCTCCTGTTCGCTAACGGTCCGCTCGAACTCCAGAATCGCTTCCGCCATACGCGACAGACCGCCGGTGGTACGAGGCCTCCCCTCACTCTCAGACTCCTTCTCACTCGGTGACCTCCCGTCACTCTCAGACTCCTCACTCTGAGACCTCCCTGCACTCTCAGACCTCTCCGCACTCTCAGACCTCTCCGCACTCTCAGACCTCCCACTGCAAGAGCCACTCCCCTCAATCACCGAACTTCCTTCCTCCTCACCCGCTTCCTCCTCCGTCCCCTCCACCCTCTCCCTCACAATTTCCTCGCTCGTCTCATCACTAATTCCATAATTAACTTCAGCCCCTTCTCTCCTCCCATCCCCTGCTGTCCACAGGTAGCCTCCCCCCGCATCACCCGCGTCGCCGCCCCACGTCCCTTCTCCCCTGTCGCCAATGGCAACCACAGACCCCAATCGCGTCGCTCCCGCGCTACTTTTACCCCCCATTTCAACCACCTCTTTCACCTGCTCCTCCTCCTCCTCTTCCTCCTCTTCCTCCTCCTCTTCCTCGTCCTCTTCCTCCTCTTCCTCCTCCCCATCCTCCTCCTTTTCCTCCTCTCCCTCCTCCTCCGCTGCCGCCTCCTCGGCCACCTCCCCATCCTCCCCTTCCCTTCCTCCATCCCGGGCGTTCCATTGACTGAAACTTTCTCCCAAGTATCCGTTAACCTCCGCATTCTTAGGACTTGGCTCTTCTTTAGATTCGATTCCCTCGCATTCTTCTTCTATCACTGGTCGCATGGTGCTCGGAGTGGTGGGTTTAAAGCCGTATCCGTAACTCGCGCTCCGCGCGTGACCCATGGGCGAATCCGGTAACGCCAGAGAGATTTCGCGCGGCCGTGGCGAAAATTCGTCAGCGAAGCTGTGCGACGGGCTGGAGCCGTACGACGATGGGCTGTCAGGCGGGCTATTTGAGAACAACGCCACGCTCGGAGCGGGCGACGCTTCTGCGACGCTGGCGGCGAACTGGCGAAATGATTTCGTATCCACCCGTGCGACAACCGGCTGTCCCTTGCCAAAATTCAACTCATACCCAAACGTCGCTACCAAAACGGCTCCGTCAGCCGGGCCGGTAAGTTTGAACGTTAACGTCTGCGGTTCTCCTTCCGTCAGCGGACGAAGTTTCGACGGCAGGAAACTCGCCAGATTAAAAGAATGGCTTGCAATCTCAGCATCATATCCAAATCCGACGGATTTCAACAGCTGAACCGCGATCGTCGACTTCTTCGACTGGAACTTGACGGACTGCTGAGATCCTGCGGTGTAGTAGACGGAAGACTTTATCGTTAACGTCTGCTCCAATTTCGCCACACCTCGACGGACCGTCATGGAACTACTCCCAATGGACATTCCCCGTCGCTGCCATTGCACGATAAGCTCTTTTCCGTCCATTGTTGACGGAAGGTCATCAACTCCGTGTACGTGCATCGCGAATGTGCAAGTCGCTTTTTTCATTCCCACGCGTGCCAATGCCTTAAGCGGTCCCAGCTTGTCGATTAACCAAGCCTTCTGCGGAGGCTCGGGGATGCGTAAGCTCTGGCTGAACCGAACCTGGTCCGCGAGCCAGGCTCGGAAGTCGACGGCGGCAGCCGGAGCCGCGCTGCCGTATGCGTCGTTCAGGTTGCTGAAGGTAAGATTGCGACGAATGGTGGGATTTGTCGCAGAGGCGTCGTTCAGGTCGCCAAAGGTGTGATTCCGACGCATGCTAGAATTTGTCGCAGTGCTGTCATTGACGTCGCTGAAAGTGCGAGTCCGACGCATTTGAGGAGCTGTCGCAGGCGCGTCGTTCAGACCGCCGGATTTACGATTGCGACGCATGGGAGAAATTGCCTCAGGGGTGTCGCTCAGGTCGCCGTATGTACGATTGCGACGCATGGGAGAAGTTGTCGCAGAGGCGTCGTTCAGTTCGCCGTAAGTATGATTCCGACGCATGGGAGGAGTTTTCGTGGGAGTTGTTGCAGGCGGCGGGGTTGTCGCAGACGCCGCAAGGATAACCGTGCTTTCTTTCGCACTCACGCTGCGACCATACGATGCGAGACCCATCTTCCTAGCGCCTCCGAACTTTGAGCCGTCCATGCTTCTTTTCGGTGTTTAGCTCGAAGTAAGAGGCAACGACTGCGACGCAAGGTCTTGACTTTGGCCTAACTCTTTCTGTGCTGAAACTGTTTGGTGTGATGAGGCTGTGTCAGAATGGCGAAACAATCAGGAGCCCAATTTGCACGCCAAGACAGCAGCTTCACATTATGAAAAGAGACTAAAGCTGATGAGGAACTAGACATAGGTCGGTCTGAATCTCGTCACGCATGTGGCTGTCGAATTCCATCCACCCCTTACTTGCGCCATATGTACAACTCAATCCATCCTCAACCATTGAAACCACGCGTGAACCTGCCCATGCGCTTCTGTTCCTTCTGTCCAGTTCGGGTGGAGGGGTATGCCAGCAACATTGCAGAGGGCCTTACGGAAAACACGTAAAATCTGTGGCGGAAGGGCGTGAGGGAAGGGGGAGGGGTGAGGGGGAGAGGCGACACGCTAACAGCAGAAATGAAGAATGTTGATGGGGCTTTTGTTTTTTAACCGATGTTTATTCAGATACGGAAAATAAATAGAAACAACTCGAAGGAGAGTGCTTGGTCCCGTTCGACATTCCCGAGAGGCGCCCCCATTTTTTTCATCGAACTCCCCTAGACAATTTGGCGCTTCGCTGACTAGCAAGCAATGCCCAGCAAGCAACCAGAACACTGAAGCTGGCGGCACCGCACAACACAGGCCCTTCATCCAGAAGTGGCCTAGTCAGTAGAAAGAGGCACTTCCGATAGATGAGGTCCTGGGATCGAACCCACCTCCGTGCAGGCGTGTTCTGCCAGCCCCCAAGAAGGGGTTAGCACGTGCTCATCTAGGAATGGATACCCCTAAACTGGTTACGACCAGAAATATAACTTTAACTTTAGCACAACACAGGTCCCTCCCTCCCTCTTGGCCCGAATCTGTTTCTGCACTGCACCTCCTCCAAGCAAGGTGCGTGTGACCAAGCGGATACTCGGGCAGGTAGGAACCTTTGCGCCAAAAAACATTCATATGTTCCGCGTACCTGTCAGGGCTCCCTCGGCACAGAGTGGATGTTTGTGGAGAAGCGGTTACATCTTTCAGTTTGCGAAAGGGTAAGTGGCTCCACGAAGCTAGACGACTGAACTTGCACAGCTAAGGACGCCGTTTTGCAGCTAGAGGGCTGTCGGAGAATCTTCCCTGAAATCCCGCTTCGGTGTGAACCAGTCGTCCCACGCCGAAAATCCCAAGTTCTGAGGCCGAGATGCACGGTCGAAAGTCCATGACGGTCACGACCAGGTATCCGGCATGTAGGAGGTGAACGCGATTGGTGCAGCTCCAATCCACGTTGGATGGACCAAAGAAATCATTGATCCAACGTAATATCCAAGATCACACGGTACGCTGGCATAACGGGGATTTCTATTCCCTAACATGTGGTGTCTCAAAACGGAACACCACTGAAGCAACACGTTGCATCTACATTCCTATCAGTAAGCTAACACATGAGGCTACCTACTCCCCAATTTCATGCATGTGCCTGTCTCAGCTCACTAAGATCCTGGCTGACGATGCACATTTCCCTTGTTCTTTATTTCCTTGAGCACCCAATCTTTCGCTCTGGCTTTTTTCTTTCAAAATGTGAAATGCTCTTCACAAAACAGAATTTGCTACTAGAGAAGCAAACAGCATCTCGTTCCACGTGTCTGGCACTCCAGGTAGACACCAATGGCTGCACCAAAAGAAGCACATAAGTTATTCTAGAGGATTTTGAACGAAAAATGAAATTCGGGACAAGCCAGAAAATAGTGGCTGGCAATACCGTATGACATGTCACTGACTCACCTGCAGTCTGCGCCAGTCGCTCCAGTCCAATAACGTGCTATGTGCGCATCACTCCTGGAGTACGACAATCTTGTAATATCATTCATTATTGGTTTTCTTGCTTGCTCCGGCCGCGTCATTGCCTCTCGACTTAATCGAGCGAATAACTCGGAAGGATCTTGCGAGATATCGTCTGGCGTTGGCAGGTCAACAGAGAGTGTGGGATGTGTTTCTGAGCAGCCACCATTGTGATCCCAACTGCCACCGCTGCAGTACATGAAGTAGGCATGACAAGGAGAAAGCGGCGGATCTGATCAGACAGGAGCATTCACGAATGTCACGACTCACAGACTTGAGTTAGGAGCAGTGGATAACGGATGTGGGAAGTGGGATGCAGGAGACAGTTGAAAATGGTGAATAGATAATCTGGAAGAAGGAGAGCATGAAGTATGTTTCTGGGCTATCACTTCTGCCATCCAAACCACCACACCCTGCCATACCAGCCACCATCCCTGCAAGCAGCACCAGCAGATAGACAACAGAGGACGATCGACTAAGGAGCAAGGAAGAGGACTAGAGAGTCTAATCCCAATCACGACAGTTCCAGACTTACGCAAAGTGGGCGGGTGCATAGGTGCGGAAAACAGCTGTGGCATTGGCAGCCTGTGGCGGCCACTGCTGCAGCCACTCTGACACGCGCAGCATGGCCAGGCGGAACCCCTCAGTCTCATCAATGTCTGGGCGAGTCTGGTTATTCACCAGGAATGAGACGTTCCTGCACGGGATGAGAGAGAATTCAGGGGAGTTTTTTAGTTCTGCCGTGGGATCATTACTTCAGCTCACACCCGCATGCTATCGTTGGGGCGAAATGCATAATTCACCAAGAGCAAAAGAAAAGAATGGACTTTCTGCCGATAAGAGAATGCAAGGATTTGATAGCTTCCATACTACTATAACCTGAACAGCCAACTCACTGAGACGATATCTTAGATGGGGTGAACCAGTGGCCTGCATTGAGCACAAGTATCAACCCCTCTGGCCGATCGTCAAAGAGCCTCCGAGCGAAGAGAGGGTCAACCACGTCTGTGTTCACCACTGCTCCAATCTGCAGGCAGGAACGGGTGCAGCAGAAGAAAGAAGTGGAGAAGGGCAATCGAGTGAACCAATGGCCTGCATTGAGCATGAGAATCAACCCCTTCGGCCAACCGTCAAAGAACCTGCAAGGAAAGAGTCCGCTGTGTCTGAGTTGACCCTGCTCCAATCCTCAGACAAGAGATAGGTAATCCGAAGTAGGGGTATGTGACGGGGACTGACATGTGCTGACGGGAGCTGCTGAGGCTTATAGAAATCCAGAGGAGCCTTCAACGGAATCCAAAGGAGCCTTCAGTTTTTTTGTGACTCACTCACGTGAGGTGGCGCATCAGGGGGGGCGCGATGGAATCCCACGAGGAAGTGTGAGAGGTGGTACTCGACTGTGAAGTTGAACTGAGTGAAATCATACACCATCGTATCCACCTTCCTGGTCAGGTTGTTGCCCGTGCGCTGCCATGGAGTGAGAGAGGGGGGTGGGGAGAGGAAATGGGGAAGCGGAATAATGTGCGGGAAAAGAGTTACAAATCCGACAGTTGGAAGGGAATATGCACGAAGCATGGAGTTGCATCCAGCATGGTGTGTGCTGTTGCCGACTGAACTAGTAAATTCAGCTGGCCAGTCAAGTATAAGAGCAGGAAAGCTCTTTGAGTCGCCTCAACGATAGCCATAATGCACGCATGGTGACAGCATGCATAGATTTTCAAGGGAGGAACAGCAGCAGCACCTCGACAACAGCAGAGACATCAGGAAGATCAATGTCGAGGAGACACAGCGCGCTCTCAAACCGGTTGCGGATTCTGAATTGCCTGGAAAATCAGCTCATTTGCTTGGAAGTAATAGCAGCACCTCGACAACAGCAGAGACATCGGGAAGATCAATGCCGAGGAGACACAGAGCGCTCTCGAACTGATTGCGGCACAACGAGTCCCCCACAAACACCAGCCGGCGCCCATTGAGCCGCCTTCGGATTTCGGATGCATTGAACCTGGACATAACACGCGGGGACCATCCAAGAAGCCAGATTCGTTGAATCTGGACACGTACAAAGGTCATGATATGGAAAGAGCGAGAAACCAGGCAGGAGACGAAAAGTCACCGGAAGCACGGACAGAGAGGTTTGAGAAAGAAACCCAGCAACTCACCTTGGTAGATTGCAACCATGCGGTTGCCATCTGAATTTCACGTAATCCGTGTCATGCCGACCCAGGGCTTCACATTCAAACCCAGTCTCGACCCACGGACAAGACCCGGTCCTCCACAACGGATACATTTCCGGCTCGTACACCCACTTCCCCTCCCACAGATCACAGGTAGCGTCCATTTCCGGTCTCCGCGCAGCCATCTCGGGATCATCGAGAAAGCCGTCCGGCGTCCATGGCTTCGGGGTGGGTGGAAGCGTGGAGCATTGATTGAAGACCGAAGCAACGAGGGAGGTGAAACTTGGGAAGTTGCAGGAGGGGGAGGTGGGAAAGCCGGTGTGGTTCGCCTGGAGGTGGAAGAGGGAGAGGAGGAGGCAGAGGAAGATGGATACGGCGAGGCAGAACGGGCCTACTAAGATGGTGAGGTAGAATGTCGAAGCTTGGACGGATACTGAGTGCTTCCACGAGGTTTCCATGAAGGTTCCGAGCTTGAGGACGTAGGGAATGGCGTTTGGCCATCCTGTGTCCTTGGATGGGTCATCTCCGCTCTCTTTCATGGTTGAGAATCGGTATAAAAGAGAGAAACTAGTAAGCAAGCGTGAATCCCGCTTATGGCCTAGCGATACACGAAGAACAGCAGGAAATAAATTTCGGTAAGTCGCACGCCTCTGTCTAAAACGGCTCTGTGGTTTCTAACGCTATAAAAGATGAATTCGATCGGCAACGCTTGCGTAAGGCACAATCCGTGTCTCACAGACACTCGACGAGAAGGATTCAACGCTGCATTATGTATTATCAGTAAGATCCTTCTTTGTCTTCGGTTCTTCGTGATTCAACGTCGGCTGCCATTGTCGAAGAGTCTCAGCTAAATGAGAAGGGAAGGTGCCAGAACAAAAGTTGATTGATTGTTGCAAGGGGTTGTCAGATCTTACTTCTGTTTGGTTCAGTACGGTTTCGGGGTTTCACAGCGTGGTATTTACGATCATATTACGGTATACTAATCTCCACAGCTTCACCTCCTCACTTATCTATTACGCAGTACTATATATCGAGGACGCTTGTGAGCAACCGGGAATGCTGGTTCGCGTTGATCAAACTGGGATGGCGAAACAGAGGCGTGGTTACCACTCGGCAACTTCTGCGTACGCGTTGTCAGGCGCTGGCGGTGCCTGTGCCAGTACAGCACCACTTGCAGATCTACTCTCCAACAAATACCCCAGTATTCCTACCCATACTGACCCAGAGGAAACCATCTGAAACGGATTGAACCACCGCTGTCACCAACCCAACCTCAATGTTGCAGTTGGAAACCCACTTTTGTCATCCCTCTCTCATCGCATTTTCTTCATCTCGGATCTGCCTGCTTCAAGTTAGTTGACAAATCTCCATTCACTTATTTCGTCCTTAGCAGTTAGCACTTATTTTGTGCCTAGGCAAATTGATCCAGATCCATCGTTTCTGTTGGTGCGATCCGTTCAGTCTACTACTAATTCTAGTCGATTCTCCATTAGACACCATGGCTAAGGGTTCAGTCAGCCAGGCGTCCACATCGGTTGCACGCGGCGGAAGTGGTGCTGTGAGTAGAGGAGCTGCTGCTGGAGGAGCACCTAAGGGAGTAGGATCAGCAGGTCTCCGCAGGAGACGGCCAACAGCGGCAGCAACTTCAAGCGCTGCGAATAACATGCTGCGATTTTACACGGACGACGCTCCAGGCCTGAAGATCACTCCGACCGTCGTTCTCGTGATGAGCCTCTGCTTCATTGGATTCGTCACCGCCTTGCACGTTGTTGGGAAGCTCTACGGTTATTCTTCCGCCAAGTGATCTGTTTGGATAAGACACTTTTTGTCTCGTAGATGTCTAATTCTAGCTAGGCTCGGGGTTCTTTCTGGCTGGTTTGATATAATTCGTGTACGGTACTTCAATTTGGTGTGGAGAAGGAGTGTCACTTGCAGCCATTGAAGCTCTCTGTACCATTTTCGGGGCTTCTGCACGGCAAGCGTAGTTCATTGTCATTGTTCAGGCTTGTACATGGTGGCAAGTATCTATCATGGGCTTCAGAAATTCGTTTGAACATCTTGCGTCCTGATTTGTGCTGATGCCATGCGTTGTGAATCACATGGTGGTGGGGGCCAACACAGACGCACAGTAGGTGGAATTTCTTGCGAAGGAGTCCTTACTGATGCTGGATGATTTTGCTGCAGAGCAGACGTTGAAAAATGCTTGATTTGTGCGAGTGGTGAGGCTGCTGGTGAATGGTGATACTGCAGTGAACTTCTAGCAGTTGCTGCCTCCAAAATCTTCTGCCTCTCAGTCCTGATGACTCTGCACAAGCCACTGGACTGCAAACCCTACTAATTGCTGATAAGGTGCTATGGATTGATACACAACGGCAGATCAGGTTGTGCTGCTGTTCTACACGGAACTCTCATTGGAAGGCAGTGGGAGGCATCGTAGCTGCCACCCTGGCAATGCAGTTCCGACGAAGAGGGGTGTCTGAGAAAATGGCTCGAATGGTTCGTTGCACCTGGACAAAGGGCAAACAGAATGGCAGAGGGTGGAACTTGGAATGTTGTGAGAGAGGGTAGGGGTAGTTGGGTTGGGGAAGCATGATGGAAAAGCCGATGTCAAGAGACGAAGGGTCTCAGAGTCATAATTCTCGGGAGGCAGCAACCTGTGAACCACAGTTAGCTGAGTGTAGCCATGCAAAAACCACAGGTGAACACCATGGAAAGTGTTATGGAAGTTACCTCATCAGAGGTGAAACCACAGCGGCACAGGTCCCCACTCTCCCATGCCTGTGTGATTGCCACTAGTGGCATGTCAAGCAAATCTGGGGGGGTGGAACAGTGGAAGGATGAGAAACAGGAAGGCAAATGGGGATTGAGGAAAAGACACTCCCTATGTACCGGTACGTTCTGTGGGTGGTGTATCACTCATCAGTTGCTTTGTATGGCAAGTCTGAGAGGTGATAGCACGAAGAAAAGGCGATAATTACCTGTTAGTCTTTTCAGCTTGCGATATACAGGAACAAGAGACTCAAGTGTTGCTGTGTCAGCAACGACATCTGACACGTCAGCATCCAGGTCAGCAGCTGCAGCTACAGATGCTGACGTGGCGCCATGGGCGCTGCCAATGGCTCCTGAGAGGTCCACGTGGAATAGAGGAGGCAGACGAGTCAGCATCCCTGCAAAGAGCTTGCGAAGCTGACAGGGGTAAAGGGGGGGGGGGGGGGGGGGGAAGGGGGAGAAGGGGAAGAGACACAAGTGTGGGGTGTAAGGATGGGAGGAATAGAGGAGGCAGACGAATCAGCATCCCTGCAAAGAGCTTGCGAAGCTGAAAACCGGAAGGGGGAGAGAGGAGGGAGGGTGCGAGGTGGGAGAGGGGGAGATGGGAAGCGAGGAAATCCAAGAGCAGGGAGAGGGGGAGCGGAAGGGGAGAGGCGGAAAATGGGAATGGCGCTGGTATACTATGTACAGCAGAACGACGCAAAAGATGCAGCAGAAGTTTCATCTACTCACCTGCTCGGTCTCATCCACTGAGATGTCTGGCAGGGCGAGCACATGCGCGCAGCAGCGGGAGAGTGCAGCAGAGACGAGACGACTCATGGCTCGGAGGTAACGCGAGGGCGGTGAGACTGGGCGCCACACAGAGGAGAGGTGGGCGAGATGGTGGACCACCTGCGAAAAAGGGAGAGAGGGGCGAGGGGAGGGGGATGTGCCGGGAGTGGGTGGGGGTGAGTGGTGGGAAGGGATTAGTGTGACGTGTGTAAGGAGGTAGAAGATGGGCGGTGTGAGACTGGCCGCAGGACAGATGAGAGGCGGGCGAGATGGTGGACCGCCTGGGGGGAGAGAAGAGGAAAAGGATGCTCTTTAAAACCACCTTAAACCGCTGTGCCCCATACGGAACCTGTGGTGCATGCAGGCACTGCCAGGGGGGTAGGGGGCTGTGCAGTGGCACACTTGCTTTAGTGACAGCAAGGACACATGTTTTGACAATTCTCACAAGGATACTTAGGAACCCACGCATCTGCTTGCGAGATTTGCAAGGTGCAGCGATACACCCTCGTCTGTGTTCCTAAACCCCTGTGCCCCATCCAAAGCCTCCATCAGGTACCCGTGGCTGCCCCGTGGATGGGACATGGAACAAGGGGTCATACCTGCTTCTGAGCCCGCAGTGCACAGCGATACCACCTCTTCTTCATATGTGTTCCTGAACCCCTGGGCCCCATCCAGTGCCTCCATCAAGTACCCGTGGTGTCGTGTCTCTCCAGCACACGCTGCAGTCAGAGCATCGATGCATAGCTGCTGAAGGCACCATCGACCAACGCCTCCATGAGATACCCAATGGTGCCGTACCGCGGATGCAGCAAACCATCCAATGCTTCCATGAAGTACCTGTGCGTGGTGTCGTGTCGCTCCCGCACTGCGCAGCGATAAACCTCCTCGTCATCCGTGTTCCTGAACCCCTGCGCCCCGTCCAATGCCTCCATCAAATACCCGTGGTGCCGTGGATGGGACATGGAACAAGAAGTCATACCTGCTTCAGAGCCCGCAGCGCAGAGCGATAAACCTCCTCCTCACCGTGTTCCTAAACCCCTGCGCCCCGTCCAATGCTTCCATCAGGTACCCGTGGTGCCTCTCCAACACGCGCTGCATCTGCTCCTCCGCCAGCTGGCGCAGGAACGGCGCCACGTCAGCAAAGGTGGCCACGTGGCGCACGCCAGTGGCAGGCGCCGCGCGCGGTACTGCAGCATCCAACCGCGAGGGAGAGGCAACACGTGGCTGAGAAGCAGGCGATCGCACTGCTATCATTGCCAGCTGTGCCACGTCCACTGGCTGTGGGACAAGTAGGAATGGGGAAGAAAACCGAGGCTTTAAAAAAGCTGAGCAATTGGAGAGGCAAGCCTCGCCTTAGCAGTAGGTGGTGGTTGACTGCCAATCCATTGGCAGCTGTGCCACGTCAACAGGCTGGGAACGAAGGGAACCAAAAGGCGAGGGAGGGAGGGAGGAAGGCGAGGGAGGGAAGGAACGCAAGGGTCAAACCCCTGTTGGGGCACCCACGGGGCTGAGCAGTAGGCGCGGCGTTGGTGCTACCATTGCCAGTTGCGCCACGCCCA